TTGACCTCGAAAAATGGATCCGACACGTGGCCAATAGTATAAGTCTTCGTGTATGCTCTTCCCTGCGCACGGTAGCAGCCATTAGTCACTTGAGGCCTTTTTCGATGGGAGTGAAAGCGGCAGCGAGCACTCTGACGGTCAAATTAGTATTTTAGTCAACCGAAAAGTGGTGCCCGGTGGTGAAGTGGTCACCAAAACGTTGTTGAGAATGTGTGTAAATATAGTGAAAGGCTCCTTAAAGTTAAAAGACTAGACTGCAAAGAGTAAAATGTGAATCCCTTATTCTTATGAGTGTGGGGTACTTATACTAGAGAAGGGAATGGGAGAACCGTTGGATGTGGGGACACGTGGCTTCGGATCCCGGATGGGCCATCCTTTCATAGGCATCAATCTGTCAATCCATAGGTTGGTGAGCATTAAATGATTTCTGAAATGGCAACTGAGTTAACCGTTTGTAGCCTTACGCACATCCCATCAATCAGTCAGGGACTTGAATTTGGAGAGACTCATAAAGATCTTGGTAGAGGTGTTGCGAGGCGGATTGTAAGTTGTAATGAATGTGGAGTGCGGTGAATGGCTGATGAGTTTGGCTCTCTTACCACGTGGACAATATCATTTCAATTTGGAGTCGTGGAATCAGTTCGTCCGACGCAAATCTAGTTCATCTGTCACGGGGCAATACCAGATCGGTTTGTCCAACACGTGGCAGATGATGTGGATGGTTGAGGTAGAGGGCCTCCAAATGCCCGTACCAAAAGTCCCTCAAGTCCGTGCACGGATATTTATATAATACATGGACTTTGTAGAGACGGCTTTATAATGCCATTTTATGGGGTGTATACGTCAATTAGGAGAGACGAAAGGGTATGTAGGAGCGAAGTTCTGGCTGGAGGACGAAGTGGTGAACGTTGGCAACTTCGAAAAAAGTTATTGTGAGGCGAATTCCATTCTAGAGGACGAAGCGATTAGGGTTGGCAACTTTGAGAAAAGTTGTTGCAAATCAAAGTCTAGGATGGAGGATGAAGTGATGAGTGTTGGCAACTTTGAGAAAAGTTGTTGCAAAGAGAAGTCCTGACTGGAGGACGAAGTGGTGAGTATTGGAAACTTTGGGAAAATTTGCTGCAAGGCGAAGTCCTGGTTGGAGAATGAAGTGATGAGTGTTAGCAACTTTGAAAAAAGTTGTTGCTAAGTGAAGTCTTAGCTGAAGGATGGAGCAATGAGTATTGGTAACTTTGAGAAAACTTGTTGCGAGGCAAAGTCCTGGCTGGAGGACGAAGCGATGAATGTTGGCAACTTTAGGAAAAGTTGTTGCGAGATGAAGTCTTGGCTGGAGGACGAAGCGATGAGTGTTGGCAACTTTGGGAAAAGTTGTTGGGAGATGAAGTCCTGGCTGGAGGACGAAGCAATGAGTGTTGCCAATTTTGGGAAAAGTTGTTACGAGATGAAGTCCTGGCTGGAGGATAAAGTGATGAGTGTTGGCAACTTTGGGGAAAGTTGTTGCAAGGTGAAGTCCTAGCTGGAGGACAAAGTTTCAGCTGATGAGATAACTTTGGGAAAAGTTGTTACGAGGCGAAGTCCTGGCAGGAGGATAAAGCAATAAGCGTTGGCAACTTTGGGAAAAGTTGTTGTAAGGCGAAGTCTTAGTAGAGGATGAAGTGGTGAGTGTTGGTAACTTTGGGAAAAGTTATTGCAATGCGAAGTCTTAGCTAGAGGACAAAGTGTCAGCTGATGAGACAACCTTGGGTCATGTGCTAATGATTTGACAATTCTCGCGTCTTCCCAATGCAGCTTTTGTGGGCGTTGTTTGCTTCCAACACACGCCCCCAAGGCTATAAATGGTAATCATGGCGACGATTGGGAAAGTTCAAGGCGACGCGTTTGGATTGGCACGTAAGTTACACTGCTTCATCAGGACCATCTGCTTATGTGACTTTTGGTTTTAACGACTATGATGAATCGTGGGTTTGGACGGTCAAGATGTGATCCACGATGATCTAACAGCTGAGGTGAACTTGGGACGCCCAAACTCTTCTCTTTACAACTTTACTTTGCGATTTCTCCCTGAAACTCACTCTGAGTTCTCTACTTTTCTAGCGAGCAAGATCCTGAAACTTTGGAGACTCCTTTGAAAACTCCGGCAACTCCCTTTTCTTACGAACCATAAACTTTAGGTAAACTTTACCCGCTTTACTCGCTTTATTTTTCATCAAAACCGGACCAAATGGCTTCTGAGAGGTCCAGAAACACTTCTACAAGTGGGGAGAGGTGAAGTGTTTAAAGTTTGGTTATGATAGATCGAACAAAAAAGGAAGAGCGATTAGGTTGGGGAAAAATATCTGGAGACTCCCCTCTCCACCTGTGGCCACGTCGATCCAATGGAGGGCTTCTAGCTGTCCCTCTAAGGCCACTTCAGAAACTTTAGAAAAGTATAGACGGGTCTTTAGGATACCGGATAACGTAGAGTTGATCATACCTAACCCGAATGAGAGAGCATGCTATTCGAGGCTGGGTTGTGTGGCTATAAGTGAGAATTTGTTTACGGTAGGCCTTAGACTTCCTTTTCACCCATTTTTTAGCTTAGTTCTCCGCTCTTATGGGCTGGCTCCGACCTTACTCCACCCAAACTCCTGGTCTCAAATGGTTGGGTTGTGGATGCTCTGGCATCAGACCAGCCTAGGCATAGATATGCCTTTTAGTGTTTTCCACTCCATCTATTTCCCTAAGAGTGTAGCCGGGGTGAGAAAAGTAGGTAGTGATATTACTTAACTCCTTGGGGATCCTATTCCCCATTCGTGGTAAACATGCCCTCTTTTTTTAAGGAGTGGCGGAAGTCCTAGTTTTGGGCAGTTAGGAGATGGGACACTATGGAGAATGATCCAACACGTAGCCAACAGTATAAGTCTTTGTGTATGCTCCTCCCTGCGCACGGTAGCACGCCGTTAGTCACTCGTGGCCTTTTCCGATGGGAGTGGAAGTGGCCACGAACACTCCGACAGTCAAGTCAGTATTTAGTCAACCAAAAAGTGGTGCCCGACGGTGAAGTGGTCACCGGGACGTGGTTGAGAATGTGTGTAAATACAGTGAATGGCTCCTTAGAGTTAAAAGACTAGAATGCAAAGATTAGAATGGGAACCCCTTATTCTTATGAGTGTGGGGGTATTTATACTAGAAAAGGGAAGGGGAGAACCGTTGGATAGAGGAACTCGTGGCTTCGGATCTCGGATGGGTCATCCTTTCACAGGTGTCAATCGTCAATCCATAGGTTGGCGGGCATTAAATGACTTCTGACATAGCAACTAAGTTAACCGTTTGTAGCCTGCCACACGTCCCATCAATCAGTCAGGGGCTTGACTTTGGAAAGATCTCATAAAAGATCTTGGTAGAGGTGTGGCGAGGCAGATTGTAAGTTGTAACGAATGCGGAGTGCGAAGCTTTGCAACTACCGTGAATGGCAGATGAGTTCGATTCTCTTACCACGTGGGCAACATCGTTTCAGTTCGGAGTCATGGAATCAGTTCATCCGACGCGAATCCAGTTCGTATGCCACATGGCAACACCAAATCGATTCGTCCAACATGTGGCGTGTGAGGTGGATGGTCGAGGTAGAGGGCCTCCGAAGGCTTGTAACAACAAATATGTAGTTATTTTATTTCGAATATCCCACGTAAGCTTAGTGTTATTTTGTTTTTTATTTTGTTAATTCTATCACCAAGTTATATTGTGTGAAACTTGATGTACATCATTAAATAATACAATTTGGAAAAATAAAAATAATAAATTTTGATGCTACCAAAAAATCGTACCTATTGATTTCCGAGCTTCAGTGTTGAGAATGAGCACGAACAGAAACTTCCAGTATCTGAAACAAAGGAGTCGAAGAGTGTCTTCATCATAGTTCCGATGTTTAATTTAGCAACAATTTATGCATGAGGTTATAAATTGAAAATTATGTAAAAGCTTACCTGAATAATGAATTTAAGTCATGTATTTATAGAGGTAGGACGCACACTCCTAATGGAATTAAGTCATTCGAATCTTTAAGAGTCTTATCATTCTTAGAAGTTGTAACTTGATGGATACTGACAATTGATGTTTATTTTCAAAAAATACATTTTGTAATAGTGTTGTTAAAAAATAAGGAAAATTTTTGGATTTACGTGTAATATTATTTTAATGATGTCAAATCACTGTTCAATAATACATTTTGATGGAAAAAAAGGGACTCAAACAAGGGCTCAATCTTGTCAGGATTTGATAAACTTTATCTTATGGGAGAGTCCTAGTGAATTAGTGTTGTGAGAAGGGGCATAATTTCTGGGAGACTCCAAACTAAAGGGGAGTATTCGTGCGCGAGGAGATAGGTCGACGAGGTCCACATTGTTTAGGGAATACCGTCGAAGTCCCCAAGGTGACTCCAACCCGAGGTGTCACGGCCGAGGAGCTTGGATAAGATACGATGGAATGAGTAATATTCTTGCTCGGGTGTGAATGCTAGGGTCGTCACAGTTTTTGGCAATATGAAATTCAATAATTGAAAAAAATACATAAAAAATTGAATTAAATAAACTAGTCAACCCAGTCCTTTCTAGACTATTATACTCCAGATTTGTTTCCATTCTTACGAATATTATATTATTTGTGGTTTGATTAATGTTGTTTATGTGCATCTTGTGACTTGTCGTGGAACGTTGATTCTCATTTGGACCCTACTCTCAACACAATTTTGTTAAGACATCCAAAAAATTGGCATAATTGTCCAAATCAGTAGTCTGATTTCACATTTGATGAATTAGAGAATCGTAGCAGCAACGATGTCTCACTATATTAATTGAAAATTAATTAAATATAAATTAATCGAAATTTGGGGATGTGTACGTAGATTTCGCATGCTATAAATTGCTGGCACATAAAATCTTTTGCATAGTTAAGAAGAAAGGTGTTTATACATCCAAATGGGAAACACAATAAAATTGCTGGTTTTGTTACTAATTTTCGTAGCCATGGGAGATGGAGCAAGAACAAAATTGCCCGCCACTCTAGACAAACGTAGTGTTGTAGACGGTATTTGCCAGTCAACAATCGAGACACAAGGTTATACTTGCGAAGAGCATAAAGTACGTATTTTAAACATTTTTTACAATCTTTTGCATATAAATCCTCATTCTCATTATATAAAAGGGCCGGACCACTCAGGATTGAGACGTAAGAATCGAGCCAAAACAAATCGTGCCTACATCAATGTTGGTCCATTATAATGAACAGATCATGTTGGATTTGATTGTCTATCTCGACAACCCATGTAGATTAGACCAGTTGGCTTGATTTTTGAAAGTAAAAGTAAAATTAGAAGTGTTTGATATCTACTATTACTAGTACGTTCTACTTGTAAAATGTTTTCATATTGCACAAATAGTTTCAAGGTGTAATGCATCTAATTTTCATCTGTCCAAACAAATTAACACCCATTACATCCAGTAATTATATTGATGACAGACTAATTGTTTTCAGGTGACAACAAAAGATGGTTATATTCTTAGCATGCAAAGAATGCCAAAGGGAAAGTCCGCCACTAAGAAACCCCCCGTCCTCCTCCAACATGGACTCATGATGGTTAATTTGCTTTTATCTTTAGCATTAATGAATGCTTATTCGATTAAGTAATTCAATATCAAACACATTAATTGACGAGTATTTGGGACAGGATGCTACGACATGGCTATTGAATTCTCCGGCAGAATCTTTAGCATTCATTTTGGTCGATAATGGGTATGATGTTTGGCTCGGCAATACTCGAGGGACAAACCAGAGCCAAGGACATACATCACTTAGTCCGAATGATCCGGTAATTCAATTAAATTAAAAATTATTTGGTAGATATATATAAATATTTTTGGCTCGCACTCATAAACTGCAGGCTTACTGGAATTGGTCGTGGGATGAATTGGTCGCTTATGATCTTCCTGCAACTTTCCAATATGTTTACGATCAAACTGGACAGAAACTGCATTATGTTGGCCATTCCTTGGTAATACTAATTTATTTACATAACCATGCAATCTTGCTTAATGGAATTATTTTCCTTTTTTTAAAAAAAAAAAAATTACTAGTACTACACTTTTATCTTCTCCATTATATTGTCCCCCATTATATTTTGACACCATCTCAATGCATCACTTGTAGTATACTGTATTGACGTCTACCGTTTTGCTAACAAGAATTGATGTACAAAAATTTAGTGATGTGGAAAGCAAGTGGAGATAGCAGATTTAGCACCCGTTTGGTTTAGATTTAAAAAAAAAATAGATTTTTAGTAGATTTTAATAAAAATTGATTAAATGTGTAGTTGAAAAGTTGTTGATCTCATAAAATGTGTGGTTGAAAATGAATTTAAGGAAAAATGAGTTCTAAAAAAGGGGAATCAAACATAGACTTAAATCTCCTATACTACTCATGCTCTTTCTTGTGGGTACAACTTTATTTGGTCTAATGCTTATCCTATTACTCGGTATACTCAAAATCCATCTTTGAAAGAATTAAGCTAATCCTTTCAAGTGTCAAAATCGAGGTCAAAGTGTTGTTAAAATCCTTTGTATCATGCCAAAGAATGTAAATGAATCTATCAACCATGGTATAGGTATAGCAAAATTGTCTTTGAACTTACTTGGGCACATAGAAATTTTACATGGATAATTTCTTGCTTTAAATTGGAATAGATTGCTAGTAAAAGTTGAACCTACTTAACAATTTACAACAAAAAATAACAAGTTTTTTTAATGCATTGAATTAAATTCAAATTTTAGGGAACCACAACCTTAAAACCCATGTTCCGTCTGCTACGTACAAGTTCTACTTCCGCATTTATTCAAAGTAGAATTTTCTTTTGCCACGTGCTTAGTTTTCAAAGCGAGATTAGAAAAATTGATGGCTTTTAATTAATTAGTATTAACTACTCTACCTGGATCTCAGGGGACTCTAATGGCATTAGGTGCATTTGCACAAAAAGAAGTGTCGAACATGGTAAGATCAGCTGCTTTGCTCAGTCCCATTGCTTATTTAGGCCAGATGCCATCCCCTCTTGCAAGAAGTGCTGCAGATATATTTATAGCTGAAGTAAGTTAACTATACCTTCCTTAATTATTGCCTGGTTTTTTTTTTAATTCTATTAAGATAATTGGCTTAGAATCTCTCTTCTTATTTATTTATCTGGTGTACACAGGATTTATACTGGTTGGGGCTCAAAGAATTTTCTTTAGGAGGGTGAGATATACTTCAGAAATCCCTTTTTTCTAGTTTATTATTTATAATCTGTACTCATAAGACACAAGTATAATGTAATCTTTTGGGATAAAAAATGCCATAGTCATTATACTTTCAACGTTGTTTCTGAGCATTTTTGGAACAGTCACTCACTTTCAAAGTTGATTCCCCCAGCACTCAATGTACTTTTAACATTATTTCTCATCCGGCACTCTAGATAAATTTAAAAATAAACGATTTTGTATTCCACGTCATCGAATTGTTAATTTTCAAATGGAAGGAGACAAAGTAAGAGGCATTAAAGTACTAATCATACTACATGTATATCAATGTTAGCATCTTTGTTGACATTCTTTTACGTGGCATCATCATCTCCTTTGATTTTCCCAACACCCTTTCACATCACTGCCCAAATTATGCTACATAGGGGGGAATGTCAACCATAATGTAAAGCAAAATGCACATTTAGATTAATTCTAAAACTACAGTGATTGTAGAGAAGAAAAATGTTGATAGTACAATGGTCATTAAAATGTGTAACCCTATTATGTGAAACAACAAGATCGCCTTAGGAATTTGGATTAACCGTATTCTGTTTAGCCCCTGTTTGGTATGGATTAATATCTAGATTTTAATCTAAACCAATGTCAATAATTAATTTTAACCACATATTTCATGGGATCAACAACTTTTATCAAAATCTCTTAAAATTCTGATTTTAATTCTCACCAAACAGGAGCTTAGTAAAATAAATTGAACACTGAGCCACATTTTTTAAGTTCAACAGAGAGGCCACTTCAAAACTTGTGGATGATATCTGCAAGACACCAAACATCAATTGCACTGATTTGATGGCTATATTTACTGGTAAGTATGTATTATGCATTGTTTCGATATATTTGTACAATTTAGAAGCATAAAAGAGTATTGTTTTCCATTAATAGTCTTATCAATTTGGTATGGATAGGTCCTAATTGCTGCATCAACACTTCAAAGTCATATCTAGACCATGAACAACCTACTGCAACAAAGAACATGATCCATCTAGCCCAGAGTAAGTCCTTACACGGAATCGTTCTAAAGTTGACCAGAAAGTACAAAGAAAGTGAAAGAAATCACAGCATACTTGAACATAAATTTGGTTCAAGAATTTTTACTTGAAATGATGAATTTCAAGATCTTTTTGTGGTAGAATCACCTTACTACATCATGTCCTGAAGTCTCCATATTTTATTACTCCAATAGTCTGAATCTCGATTACCATGGAAGAGAATTATTATCCACAATCTAAGTATTTAATATTGTGATTTTTCATGCCAAAATAGTGATTTTAGGGCCTTTCCAATTTTGGTGCATTTCCACGTACAAATTTTACACAATTTTCTTGCCATAATTTTTTCTCTTGTCCTAGACCATGATTAGAGTTATGTGGAGAGTTAAGGAATGTTACGGGGAGTTGTAGGATTTAATTTCAAGTTCAAACCACTCTCTCCAACCCTTTTTGCGTCTTGCGGGTCGGGTGACCCCACATGGGCGACCCACTACCCATAATTTCTAACAGATAAAAAGATAAAGATAAAAAATTTATCGATTATACTATACAGTATGCAATACTTATTTTGTGGTTTGTGCACAGTGATAAGAGGAGGCAGCATAGCAATGTATGATTATGGCAGCGCAGGTGAGAACAATAAATATTATGGTCAGCCGACTCCTCCCAAGTACGATATGGCAAGCATTCCAAATGATCTTCCACTTTTTCTTGGCTATGGAGGGAAGGACATGCTTTCTGATGTTAACGATGTGCAAACTTTGCTCGAGAAACTCAAAGACCATGATCCTGATAAACTTGTAGTTCAATTCAGGGAGGATTATGCTCATGCAGACTTTGTTTTCGGTGTCAATGCTAAGCAAGTTGTGTATAATCCTCTCATGGCCTTCTTCCACCTCCATTAATCAACTATCAAATGTGTTCAGATCCAATTTTAGTTCATTAGTTTTGTTAGAATTCCTTGTTAATCAGAAATGAAATGTTTAAATTGTGCAGAAAAGGTGTCTAAAGGTAAATGTTTTACAATGGGCAGAGCCAGATCTACAAATCAAATTGGATGGATCTCTAAGATTCATGAACTTCTCGGATGATATTGTAAATAGTAATATTAAGTTTTTATGATGTTGTCTATCATTTTGTATAGTTAAACTTAGACACAACAATAAGTTCATTTAAGTTTTGTGTTCCTCCATCTTGTATAAATAAATAAATACTACAAATCTGTAAGAAAAAATAATAATAGAAGACGTGAATTAAAAAAAAAAAAAAAATTTGACTAAAAATCTAGGATCTGGCTAGAAATTTAGATTCATATTATAGTTATTCTATTTAATTGCTGTTGTTGATTTTATATCTTACCAGTGCACGTGTCGTAACAAGTAATAAAGTGAATTTAAGAATTCGAATTATCGTTCTCACGAGAACTACTATTTAACCGTTCTTTCAACTATTCCTAACTCTAGTTTGATTGAAAACAAATAGAAGTATTTTTACTTTTTATCCTATTATAAATTAATTTTGGGTAATTGACGCAAAACGTCCATACCTTTTGAGTTTATTGTCGAAAACATTCCTACCTTTCATTTCTTGGTGCAAAACATCCATACCTTTCACATTTCTTGCACTGAACATCCTTTTCACCAAATTTTACCATAAAATGACCAAATTACCCTCATATTTAAATAAAATAAAAATAAAAATAAAGAACAAATTACAGTCATACTCCCAAACATTTTAGAAGGTCCAAAACAATCCAAAAGTCTTATTAAAATATTAAAAATGAAAAAAATTAATAAAATATCTCCTTTCCCCAACCCCACAGTCCACTCACCTCCTCCTCCTCGCCCAACCACCACGGCATTTTTTTTCCTTCCGATTTAGAGAAGAAATGGCAAAATCGAAGAACCACACTGCCCATAACCAGTCCCACAAGACCCACAAGAACGGCATCAAGAAACCCAAACGCCACACCTCCACCAAAGGGGTTAGTTGATATTCATTTAGTGAGGATAGCTGAATTTTTTGCCATTAAAATGATTATTGAAAATAATTTCACTCTCTTTTTCTTCTGCTTCTTCAACTTCACCCCATTTTACTTCTTCACAGTAAAAAGCATCAGACAAAGAAGAACCAGAATTTAGATATTGCTCCATAGCCATCTTCTCTGTTCATTCTACAAACAGAAAATAATAAGAAACCCAAACCCCATTTTCAAAAATTATCGAGCACAGAAGCAAAAACGACACACAATGCTCAAGATATTACTCAAATAACGTATTATCGGCAAAAAATTCAGCTATCCTCGCTACAAATTATTTATCTTTCGAGACATATTTCCCGACAAAATTATCGGCATTATTTTCGACGATTTGGAATTTTACGACGTGTAAATAACGTGTTTTTACGATGTTACTAGACAAAATTTAAATGAAATTAGCTGCAGTTAGTGGGATGTCCAGATCGATGCAAACCTGAATCCACTAGCAGTGAGGATAGCTGAATTACGACACCCACCAGTAGAGCCAGCATTTCTCCATGAAATTTATTCATTTTTGGAGCAAATGAAGCAACAAAAGATGGTACCTTTTGCTCCCAAAAAATTCACAAACTTTCCTAATTTAATCATAGTGAGAGAGGGAGGGAGGGGATGAATATCAAACTGTGGAGTGTGGCCTGTGAGGTTGGGGTAAGGAGATATTTTATTTATTTTTTCATTTTTAATGTTTAATAAGACTTTTGGATTGTTTTGTACCTTTTAAAAAGTTTGGAACTATGACTGTAATTTGTTTTTATTTGTTTTATTTAAGTATGAGGGTATATTGGTCATTTTATGGTAAAATTTGGTGAAAAGGATGTTCAGCGCAACAAATGTGAAAGGTATGGACGTTTTGCACCAAGAAATGAAAGGTAAAGATGTTTTCCACAATAAACTTGAAAGGTAGGGACGTTTTGCACAAATTACCCATTAATATTTATCCTAAATATTATGAATCAATAAAAAATTTAAAAAGTGAGTTTTTAATGATGTTTTAAGTATTAAGATTCGTAGGTTTATCATAGCTATCATCTTAATTTCAATCACCAAATTTTATAACAATTGATTAAGTGTATTCTGTCAAATTCATCTAAATTTATTGATTTACCTCTCTCAAGTTCAAATCAATCTTACCCAACTAAGTCAACCTACCATATTTCTATGTGAATCTGAATAAGCCTTAATTAAGAGTATTCAATCACCAAGAAATTCATTTAACGACCGCAACAACCATAAAAGTGTATCTCTTTCCGTTTATCCAAATTACAAGTTTTTCACAAAGTGGTCTATGATAGCCCAAAAATAACTGATCAAGAGGATGGTGAATTGGTTATTAGAACTTTTTCGAAGAATTAATAAAGATTCAAGCAAGTAAAAACCAAATTGGTAAATTCAAATGACAAGCGCAAATATAAACATGATAAGTAAATGGGAGAAGGATGCAAACGATATAATTGTGGAGGTTCGATCCAAAGCAATGATGTACATCCTCTATTACCAACCTCTTCGACACGAGCAAGGCCATTTCATTATGTTGATTAACTTATGGTACAATTCAACCCTTTACAACGCTTTCGGTGACTTACAAATAAGGAGTATCGATCCTTACACAATGTTGAGCTTTACTGGACCTCTCCATGACCCACTAATTTAAAGAAAGTTGATTTTACAATTTGAAACTTCCGTCTTAATAAATAATATGATTAAATTAAGTACCAAGAGAGAAATAGGTTAACACATTAATAAATAGCAATGAATGAATCTCAAGTGTTATGTGAGAAAAACTTAGATGAGTAGAATGACTTTCAAAAGTTAATTCATTCAAAAGTCTTTCAATGCAAAATGATTTGATAAAGATAAATCAATATAGTTTTACTCAAAAATATTTCACATATATTCTCTCAAAAATGTTGTATTTAATGTAAATTGAAATGTATTTATAGCAGTCAAAACGCCAAAAATTCTAACCAATCGGACGACACATTCGGACATCCGCATATTGAACCGGACAACCCAACTAGCTGCTATGCGTCGGAATTCAGAACGGTTAAAAATTCGACCGTTGGACGAACCGGACATCCGCTAGGCCAATCGGACGTCCGCTTGAATATTTATTTTCTCGGATTTTCCTTTCTTAATTGTTTTGAAAATGTAGGCTTTTGAACGACATTTTCACATAATTTTTCAAGGTAAGTGATACTTATAAAAGTTTTAAGTATTAAGTTGAAATTATTACCTTTTGAAAAATAATTTTTATGCAAGCGATTTAAATATTTTACCTTTATATATGAATCTAAAACATCTAAATCGAATATCTTCGATTGATTTGACATGAATGCTCGATTCGTTCTTTTCTTTGTGAATGCTCGGCTTCCATCTCGATTTTCATTGATCGTCAATTGCGAGTCTTTTGGTATCAATCTTTTTTATCTCCAATAGATCAACTTTGCAACAATAGTTATGAAAACTCGAATTCAAATGTTAGCGACAAAAAATAATTTGTTTGTTATAATCAACTTTTTGATTATGGGAAACAAAGATAATTTGCAACGGGTTGATAATATCGAGCTTGAGATGTATGATATTCAAATTTTTCTTTATAAAATTCATCCACTTTAGAAGGGTATGACCCTACCAAGGCTTATCATCGGGTCACTAGGAAGAATTTTGGGAATATCACAAAACTTAGTGCAAACAAATTAACTCTTCCCTGTAAAGTTTTACAAAATATCATTGCACATGTCATTCTTCCTCGAAAGAGTCATCGAGATAAAGTAAAACTTTTTGATCTTTTCATTCTCGATTCATTTCGCGCTAGGTGGAAATTAGATTTTCCGACTATTGCATTAGGTCTCATGAAACTTGTTCATTCCACTTGTTATGTTAAAGCCTTACCTTATGGAATACTTCTTATGATAATTTTTAAACATTTTGATATTCCTCTAAACTATGAGACTTTTGTTAAATTTTGCCATACCGACACCATCAATATCCAAACTCTTAAGCGGATGAAGATAGTAAAAGAACATGGTGGGTAGCACACACAAAAGGGTTCGACCCCACCTCAGGACCTTCAATTCTACCATTCGAGGGAGATGACGATGATGATGAACACAATTTCTGAATCTCCTCACAATATTCCGGCCTCTAGTTTTCCTTAGTCATCGGGCGATGGCTTCACATTTACCGATGATCACTACAATCTTTTAAACGGCCACATTAATTCCCTTACATCATATGTTGACTGCCTTGACGAAATGCTTCACCAGTTGCAAGTTCAACAGACTGCCTACAAGCCTAACAAAATGTCATTCATGTGCAACATGCCGCGATGTAGGCTCAACAGAATACCTTCTATGCTCACTTATGTGCCCATTTTCCTCTACCTCCTCTTTCGGAGCCATAGTCATATCTTTTGTTGTTACATTTCTATATTTTCATGTTTTTATGTCTTGAATACACACTTGTTTCACCGTTCTTATTTTCTTATAATTTTTGGTTTTATGTGGTATT